TGATTTTCTTCCCAATGATAATCTCTGATCACAAGGATTGTTTGACATACCCTGCTCCAGTGCAATGCAGTAATATTCTGGTGTTGTGAAACATTATCCTAAAGAAACTCTATTAGAAGGCTTGTTAACTAAAAAAAGGCAAGGTGCGATTGATATATTACCATTACCAAGAGACAAATATTAGGTCTCATTAGGTGTGACAAAAATCTATATATATTAGTTATATATTTTTGGTAAGGGATATGTATGTTTATTTGTTCTGTATATGTATGGTATACAGCCTGAACTCCAACCTTGTTTGTTTCTCCCACTGCTCACCGTCATACTCTTTTATCATTTCATCCTTCTTAGGTAAATAAACCCACTGCTTTTACTTCTTCTTCACTGCTAAAGTTGTCATGATACCAAAATGAGTAACCACGATACTATACCAGACAAAGTATCACGGTTCCGGGTATTATCGCGATACTGCTGCCTTTATAATTATTATTATTATATTTATGAACTGCAATGTATTTGTACAAGGTATACTTATTAATTACTCATAATGTTGTTTGGTGGATCATAAACATAATACTGGCAAAGAATTGGACTGAAATAAATATTTTTATGAATAACATTTATTAAAAACTTAAAATTGAAAATAAAAAACAAAAACAAACAGATCCACTGGCCTTTAAAAAAATCTATTTGACAATAATACTTCTTCTCTAACATAATAAACCATATAGGACAAAATAGAATTAACAGAAACTGATTACATGTGAAAACTATATTTTTATGCATTTTCTAGGTTCTTTGTATTTTGACATTCTTTAACTCTTCATTCCTCAGCCTATACACGGAGCATATAGCCCTAATATTAGCCAATGAGAACATAAACAGGGCATACTAACCTGGTATTCTACATATAATGAACAAATCTGGGTGATGACACTGCAGATGTTTTATGAGGTTGAATGTGTTCCCTCTTTTGGCTCTTATAGCTTGGTGGCAGAGCCTGCACAATGGACGGCCATCGTCTACTGCTTTATTGTTTGTGCCTTGCTTAAGACCAAAATAGTTCCAAATGTGACTTTTGGAGTTAGGTTTTTTGAGAAACATTAGTTGTGCCACATAAAAGGACATAAAGGCTCTTACAAAGCCCTTTCTCTTTTTTTCCCCCATCTAGGGTCTTCAGACCACACCACTGTTATGCTAACACCGGCATACAGACCACTGGTCAAAACAACCAAACCAGGAAAGAAACAGGGGTGTGGCCTGAGGGGTCGTCAGAGGCACACCAGGACTGTTTCCACCACAGTCTGGAGCATGTTCAGACAGGCAGCCACACACAACAATATCACTGACCTCCAGGAGTATACAGAGACTGTAACTGCCTACATGCACAAGTGCATCGACGGCATTACAGTCACCAGAACCATATCCATTCAGGCATATCAGAAGTCACTGCTCACAGGGGAGGTCCGCAGGCTCCTGAGGGCTCGAAATTCTGCATTTCGAGCCGGGGATGCGGTGAGCCTGAAAACAGCCAGGGCCAATATGTCACAAGGCACCAGAGAGGCCAAGAGACATAACTCTAAGAGGATCTTCAATCACTTCAGTGACAGCAGAGACACCAGGAACCTGTGGCAAGGGATCCAGACCATCACGTACTACAAGCCTTCATCGCAGACCTGCGACAACTCCACCTCTCTGCTGAACTAACTGAACTCTCTTTGCTCGCTTTGAGGCAGACAACTACACCCTGGCACAGAAGTCTCCAACCCGGCGACCAGGTTCTGACGCTATCCACCAACAGCGTGAGAGACTGCGCCGTGTCCTTACAGACATCTTCAACAGCTCACTGAGCCAGGGTGTTGTTCCCAAGTGCCTCAAAGCTACCACCATCAACCCAGTCCCAAAGACTTCATCTCCCTCTGGCTTCAATGACTACCGCCCGGTCGCACTCACCCCATCATAATAAAGTGCTTTGAGTGGCTAGTCATGCAGCACATCAAATCTGCCCTCCCACCAGCCTTGGATCTCTTTCATTTTGCCTACCGGTCCAACCGTTCTACTGCCCTTCACTCAGCCCTCACCCACCTAAAGACAAAAGACACTTATTAGGCCATAAGGTGAACTCTATTTTCGTTTCATCTTGCTCTGACATCTGCAAACTACACAAACTTAACTTCATAAAAAAAACGAGTTACGTAAAAAAAAAAGTTTGTCACAATAAAATCCTGCCCATTTTTTATGGCGAGTCATTTTATGCCGAACTAGTTTCTTCAAGGCGTAATAAGATTTTGGTTCGTGAGCGGTGGCACAGTTCGACACGTGATCGTGCTAAACCAATCGATTAGCTGATTGATGTCAACACTTTCGGCAACTCGGCTCCTTTCATGGTTTTGCTTAACATTACCGATAGAGAGGAATTCTCCCAAAAGTCTTCTAAAGTGGGCCAAATGGATTCTATTCTTTATGGATTCTAAACTGCTTAATACATAGCCGCCTGCACGAAGAACAATGAGGAAAATAGACAATAAGGTGAACTTTATCTGTTAAGTCATTTTGATCAATAAAAGGAAGTAATCAATGCCAAGGACCATTTGTTTATTCATTTGTTCATTTATTCGCTCCCAACTAAATACAACACTAACCAACCATAAAAAAACATTCTTTATTAAAACATATATAAAACAATACAAAACAGCATAATAAAATGAATAGCAATGTTAACAATGCAACCACAGCAATACAACTGTGAGGCAATAGGCTATGTATAGGTGAGACTATGTATAGGAGTGAGGTTAGCCGTCTGGCCTTGTGGTGCAAACACAACAATCTCTGCCTGAACGTGGAAAAGACAAAGGAGATTGTTGTGGACCCAACACACCCAGCAGACTCCCCTGGTGTGCTGGGTGCACGCTGGTGAGCAGCACCAAGTTCCTGGGAGTGCACATCTCTGAAGACCTCCTAGACAATCAACACCACATCGCTGGCCAAAAAAGCCCAACACCGCCTATACTTGCAAGCAAGAGCACTGGCCCCCATAATGCAGACCTTCTATAAGGGCGCCATGGAGAGCATCCTGACCAACTGCATCACTGTGTGGTATGGTGCCTGCACCATGTCTTGCCACAAGACCCTACAACACATCGTGAGAGCAGCTGAGAGGATCATCGGTGCCTCTCTCCCCTCTATTTAGAACATCTACAACACCTGCCTCACCCACAAGTCCATCAAGATTGCAGGTGGCCCCTCCCACTCAGCTTACAACCTCTTCGGCCTACTGCCATCGGGTAGGAGACTGCAGAATTTCCGAGCCAGAACCAGCAGGCTCAAAGACAGTATCCACCAGGAGGAGACTCAACTCCCTACCTGCTCTGCCCTCGCTCACCCCTCTGTCACACACAGACTCTAATGTGCCCCTCCTATCCTCCCCATCTCACACACACAGTCTCTGCTCTCCCCTTCCCATCTCCTCTGTTCCCTGCATGCACTGACCCTGCTCTACACCTTCTACTCATTTGTGCTCAATTATTTGCAATATATGAATAAAATAAAAAAAGACTGTGGATCCTCATTAACATACTGCACTATCCCATGTAGTACCTCACCCTCAACCAAATAAGCTAAGTCATTACCGTCTTTATTGATTCACCACTTATTGTTCATCCAGTCTATAATTACTGAGTAATGTCACAGCACATTTTTTTAGTATATATTCTCACAAGTGTGTTTCTTTGTACTTTGTACATATATTGTTAGTTTATTTCCCTTCCACTTGTAAATATCTCCTCTACTTATATTCTTCTGCCATTTTGCACCATGGGTCTGAGAGGGCTGCAATTACAATCTGCCATATATCCTGTATGTAAGACATATTTGACAATAAAGTTAAATTTGACTTTGAGTTTGATTTTCTTTCTTTACAGCTGGTTGTAAAATTCTGCACTCAGAGTAAAGCTAGAACTGGACGTAAAGACCAGAGCCAGAGTTAAATTAAGTAAAGAAGCCAAACCAAGGTAAAGACCATAAACCCTACTGTTCAGAACAAATCAGATTTGGCCTAAAATGGTTTAAAAAAACATTGGTGTCTCTAACAAATGGCCACAACAATAATGGCTCAAATATATAAATTAGGGAAAACTATGTATAATGTAGTTCAATAAATTACTTCTAAATATGACCATGTTACATAATGTAGTCAAAATAAACAGAAAGACATTATGTAAAGAACAATGTTAAAATGTTCGGGTGATGCTAAAAGTGTAATAGCTAAAGAAGGTTTTTATAACAAGCAAAGTGCACTTAGACCAGATGATGTCAGTAACAACAACATTACCTTGTAATTTTGATAATGCACTCT